TCTCTCTCTCTCTCTCTCTCTCTCTCTCTCTCTCTCTCTCTCTCTCTCTCTCTCTCTCTCTCTCTCTCTCTCCTGCCATGTTGAAGACCTGTCTCGCCACTTCCTCTCGCGTGATGTGCGGCACTGTCGGCACAGACACAAAAACAATTGATGCACTCATGAACAACACAATGTGTCCCGCCCGTCCCACACTTCACCTCACTTTATCGTTGCGACACAACATCCCTAGGAACCCTGCTCCAAGGAGCTCTCTGCAAAGTGTCGTGCACCCGCACGTGCTGCACCACATGCTGCATCAACCTCCACAATCGGGACCTCATGCCATTTCCCTCATCATTGGCGCCTTGCCGCCTGCCTCCTCCTGTGTCTAGGAGTCGGGGGAGGCCGTGGGACGTCCTCATCGTCGGAGCAGTCGTTGTCAAATGCACACATGTCGTCCACATTGACATTGTACTCTAAGAGAATATTGTGCAGGATACAAATGGCCATGAACTCCTTGCACAGGTTGTCATTTTGCTAATCCTACGACGGATGAAGTTCCACCACACCGCCTTCAGCAGACCGAAGGTTCTCTCGATGACGGACCTCGCCGCCAGATGGCTGTCGTTGTAGGTGACATCGTCAGTGGTCCGCCGCGGTTGAGGAACGGGCGTCATCAACCATGGGAAGCAAGGGAAACCAGCATCTCTCAACAAATAATGACCAATCGTGGTTCCGTGGCGAAGTACATATGAACCACTCTGGAACACTCCGCCTGCGTCTTCGAACTCCTTGCACGATGGCGACAACCGCATCACACGAGAGTCGTGGTTGGACCCGGGGCACCCAATGTACACATCCAGAATTCCGCATTCGTGGTTGTAAACGACTTGCACGATGATGGAGAATTGTCCTGTCCGGTCGTAGTAGCACTCCCCGCGCTTGCCGTTGGGTTTCTCGATGTACAAGTGGGTGTAATCAATCGCACCCACACAACCCGAAACCCTTTTCTCTCGAACACGTCCAAGTTCCAACATCTCCTGCAGGCGCAGTCCACGAGGGAAGGAGATGACATGGCCGTATTCCCTGATGATTGTGTCCACCACGTTGACATTGCTCCGCAGAGCACTGGCCAGGCCCATGCCCAACCTGTGAGCGGATTGTTCGTGGAAACCGCGCTGGTTGTCTCCAATTCGTTGTTGCACGTCGGATGTGTGGTGCTATTCGTTGAAGGTTTGAAGCACTTCTTCGAACACCGGCCGCGAAAGTCTGCAGAACCTTCTTAAAACCTCTTCATGTCTCCTCCCGACACGTTGCAGATCCTTCCACACACCACCACTGCATTCCAACACCCAAATGCGTCCACCACCTTCCGCATTCTCAAAAAGGAAGCTCAAGGCTGGATGCAACAGGGAAAGGTTATGGCCTACACTAAACATGAGGACTGCGAGAACAACATGCAGTCTGGGATTCGACAGTGGCAATGGCGCTGCTGCTTCCAAAACGGACATGGCTGCCTCGTTCCGCTGTTTCATCCATTGGATATTTCATCCATTGGATAATGAGGAAAACGAGCATGAAAAGCATGTCGTCCCACTCGCCACTGGACTTCCCAGTTCCTGCAATGCTAGCGTCCATGGCAGTTGGGTCTTGCGTATCCCGACTCCTCTTCACCTCACCACCACCCTTTAGTACTGTCCTGTACTTGCTGATTGCCTTCAATATGGCGGACACCAGCGACAACCATGGAAGGCACTCTCCCCCCACTTTCGCACGAGATTGCAGGCTATGGATACCGGACTGAACACCTCCCCGGTACAGACAGGAACAACAAAACTCCCTTGGCGGCGGACAGCAGTTGGCAAATTCCTGGACGTTTGTCGCTGGGGCGGTAGGTACCACAGGTCCACAGGACCTGTGAAGGGGCAGGACAATCGGACAGTGCCAACTGTCGCACTTTCCTTGGGGCATGCCGAGCAACGTCATGCCCGTCCCACAACACGGACATCCGCAGGAACGAAAGTGCCCTCCGTCCGAACGCAAGTCGTGGCCCCTCATTTTCCCGTTCGGGAAAACAATGGAAACATTTCCTATTTCGGTAAACGGGAGCGACAGGGACACCACGCCTTGCCGTCGCAGTGGGGTCCCACTGTCCTTCGAAGGTCCGTTCGCGGTGGACGGGAGCCTGTATGCGCGGCTCCCCATTTTGCTTTGCTGCAGTGCTGTGGGGTCCACCCCAAAGAACAAAACGAGCAAAACAAAAACCGGCATCTCGAGGATGGCCAGCATCCTACACAACCGTCGATCTTCAAAGAATAAGACGACCAAAACAAAAACCGGCATCTCGAGGATGGCCAGCATCCTACACAACCGTCTATCTCCCGCAGCCTTAGCTAATTTAGCTAAGGCACACACACACACACACACACACACACACACACATACACACACCCACACACACACACACACACACAGAGAGAGAGAGAGAGAGAGAGAGAGAGAGAGAGAGAGAGAGAGAGGCTATGGTCCCAGTACCAAAGAGGATTGGATAAAGCACCCGAATCTCTTTGTAAATAGCGGTTTTCTGCACCACTCCACAAACACATCCAGATTCAGGCGGAAAACCCAGTCGGCTTGCTAGTTGGACCATGCAAATGGCCGAATTGTTTCTTTTTCGCTTTTTGTTTCTTTTCTACAGGTGCATGGTTTCTCCACCACTCCACAGGGAGCATGCATGTGACCACACGGCCATACTCACACGGGGACCTAAAGTCGCAAATATCTGTGACGTTTGGTCCATGTATTTGCACCTATGGGTGCCCGTGTGGTCACACATGCGTTCCATGTCCAGAAAGGACAGAGTCGCAACCACACAAGGACCTGGTAATCCTTCTTCACTCCTCGACTCCTGGAGGATAGACGCTTCACGAATGGATTTTCCCGACGAAGTTACCTTATGATCTACCTTCAAGTTTCCGCTATGGGTAACCTGGGTTCTCGGTTGCCCCGTCGCAGGAGACATACAATTTTATCAGCATTCCTGTCCGCCTTAGGGCTTTTTGCAGGCCGTTTTAGGCCAGCACCTGGAATACACCGGAATGACAGTGCAGAGTTAGTAACCGCACTACCTCATTCCTTTGAGCCACAACCTCAGCTACAAGAGCTTCCTACCGCCCTCATTGTGTTACGGATTGGTTTCCTTTCATTTATGTTCTGGTTACAGTAACTCTGATTTGTTGTTATTGCAAGGGACCTGAATGTCAACACTTGCCAGAGTGTAACACAATGCATGCCACTTCACCATTCACACAGATTATGACTCCACACACAATGCAGAATGGGGATGAGATGAGAACCAAGTCGCGCAAATCATATTGTCTCAAACACATTATAAAGAGTATCTCGAGTTCATGTCTCCAGGCGCTCAACAACATGACGTGTCTCTCTCTCGAACATCAGCATAATGGGGCCTGGCTTAGTCAGCGCCACCCCTCACAGCAACCAGCGAGCGCAAAACAGGTAAGTAGTCACCATAGCCATTCGTTAACCTGTCCTTCCTCTCCCTCTCTCTCTCTCTCTCAAGATCTCAGTCTTAGTCCTCCTCTCTCATCATACATGCACACTCCTACCACGAAGATCTACTTAAAATGCTACTCACTGTAGACTAACAACTAACCCTCTAAYTATGCTATCTGGCTGGTGCAGCTATGGCTGCCTCTTGCAAGCCAGCGCCCGGCTCCTTCTTCCTTCCAGCGCAGCTTCTCCTCCAGCGCTAACCCAGCTAGCCAGYGCACAAGTGCACGCAGCACTTCCACRCCAWTATGCCAGTGGGAATCTGATATCAAGGGAGGCTGGCCWATTGCTTTATACTGCTGGCCTCCCCTGGCGAGGTCTGCATTGGTCTGTATTGGCACTTTGGGCCTCCTTCAGTCCCAGACCCATGCATATGTGTGTGTCCCAGTATTTTCCCCTCAGGGTCTGCTGCTGCTGCGGCCATCTGGCCTAGATTTCGGACTGGGTGTCTGAACCTAGAACCCCTATTAGACTTAGACAGAAATGGGAACCTGCCCTTTGACTTCCTTTTGGACAGACACACATTCTGCACGAACAGACACTCATACTGCACGAACAAGCACATCTCTTGCCTGAACAGACATGACCTCCGCACCCCCTGGACGAACAGATGTGAGTTCTAAATCCAGATATTGCAGCTGTTCGTACAGGGCACAACTGTGACCTTTGACATTGGCTTTTACTTAGCTAGGATGTGACTTTAGACCCAGAGAACATGTCCTTCGATCTGCTTTTATGAGTTGGGCCCTGGCCGGTGACCCCTCTATGCAGCATTTGCCGAACAGGGTTTGAATCGGGTAAAGGCCCTTGTACTCTCGCCGGCCTAGTTTCGAAGTCCTCTGAGAATCATTTACTCATCAATGATATAGATTCCTTTTCTTTCCTTTTCATATGCAGATACAATATGAGGTGCAGACTCTAGCAAATTTTCTCTTGTGAACCAGCGATCTTCACTTGGGTCCTGATAGGCAAATCTTACTTTATATTGTCGTTGGGGTCTGCCTCTTCATCCAGTTTGGAAAGTGATTTCAGCAACAATCTTATCCACATCATATTTCCCATCCATACTAGGAGGTATCGCCGATCTGCGACTGGGAAACAACTCATTTGTTACGCAAGGTAAGAGTTTTGAGGCGTGGAATACTCGATATGTATGCAAATGTAGAGGAATCTCAATCACACAAGAAGGTTCATCCACCTCTCCAATCACATCAAGAACTTGCCAAGGTCCTCTGTAGGCAGTCAGTAACTTCTTAGAGATGTTCTCTTCAGGAACAAACTCTTTAGACTTAACCCATACTAGATCACCTACAACAAACTGTGAAGGTCTTCTATGCTTATTTGCCTGTTCAATCATCTGATGTTGTGCTTTGACAATATTTTCCTTTACCTTTTCAATATCTTTCTGGTATTGAATCGTAAATTTGCTAGTTCCTAGTGGAAGCTTATGCACTTGATCCGGGTTTAGCCGATCAATAGGCGTGCGCGGACGCCATCCCAGATGCAACTCCATCGGATTCTTGCATGTAGATAGAAGAACAAAGTTATTGTAAGCGCTAGCAACTTTGGGCAAATGTTCGTCCCAGTCAATAGTCCTGCGCGGACGCCATCCCAGATGCAACTCCATCGGAGTCTTGCATGTAGATAGATGAACAAAGTTATTGTAAGCGCTAGCAACGTCCAGTCAATCTGGTCGGGACGAATATACATGCGCAGCGTTTGCTGCAAAATCTTGTTCATTTGCTCAGTCTAGCCATTAGTCTCAGGATGTCTACCTGAGGACGTAGTCAATTTAGAGCCATAGACATTCATTAGTTGCTGCCATTGTTCACTTGTGAACCGTGTGTCTCTGTCACTCACAATTGTCAAGGGATGTCCATAGTCTTTCACCCAATGGTTAAAGAACTCCCGAATTACCAGTTCCGTTTTTGCTTCCGCTGGTAGTGCTACAAAAACAGCATACTTACTAAATCTGTCTACGATTACCATTACCTGCGTCTTCCCATTCCTTCTTTTTATCTTGGTGTCCATAAAGTCAATGGACACAGAGTCTCCTGGACCTGTTGGAATAGACAAAGGTTTAAGTAAACCAAGGGGAGGTTGTGTGGTGCTCTTATTTCTTTGGCACACTTGACAGCCCAACACATATGCATTGCAGTCTGGTTTCATGCGAGGCCAGGTATAGGAATGCAAAAGGTTGGCGTAAGTCTTTCTCCATCCGAAATGGCCTTCGGTGTCGTGACATTCCCCCAAGATCAAACTTTTGATCTCTTCTACATTTGGAATACAAAGCCTGTCATGCACATCAGTTTTCTCAAATAACAGTCCTTGTGTGATACGATAGTTAGGAAACTCTGTTGGCGCTTCCTGCACACGCTTAAGCATAGCGCCATAGACAGGGTCAGTGGAATACGCATTTCTATTTTTTTCTTGTAAATCGGTGCCCACATCTAAGTAGGTTACAATGGCACCAAAGAAATATGATCTTCGACTCAATGCGTCGGCGACAACGTTATACTTACCCTTGACTGACTTTAACTCAGAGTCATATTGGTCAATCTCCGCGGCCCACCTAGTCAACTTAGGTGTCATCCGAGCCTGCGTTTTAAGCCAGCGAAGTGTCTCATGATCTGAGTACACTTTGAAGTGCCTTCCTAGGAGATAGTGTCGCCAATGATCAAGGGCTTCTCCGAGAGCAAACTACTCTCTCTCGTACGTGGAAGCGGCGACCTTCTCGTTAGGTAGTCGTCGGGACATGAACTTCACAGGTCTGTATCCATTCCCGTCATCCTGCTGGAGTACAACACCTATCCCGTACTGACTAGCGTCGGTTGTGACGACAAAGGGCAAAGAAGGGTCAGCAAACACCAGAACCGGATAATTAATCAAACACTTTTTCAAACGTTTAAACGAAGACGTACAGTCTGAATCCCACTTCCATATCGTTTCTTTCTAAAGCAATCTCCGAAGGGGCGCAATAATTATCATGAAATGTCTTACAAACTTTCGATAATAATTGGCTAGCCCAAGGAACGACCGCAACTTAGTCAAAGTGCGGGGGTTAGGCCAATCGCGAATTGCCGCAATTTTCGTGTCTTCCGGTTTGATTCCATCACCATCAAGCACATGCCCTAGATACAAAACCTGACGCTTAGCCCATTCACACTTCTTTGGGTTTAGTTTCAAATTTGCCTCACGCAATTTATTTAGCACAAGTCGAAGGTGCCCAGAATGTTCTTTCAAATCTTTACTAAAAACCAAAATATCATCCAAATAAACAATGACAAATTTGTCAAGCCACTCGCGAAAGAGTTCATTCATAGTTCTTTGGAAAGTTGCAGGGACATTTGTAAGACCAAAGGGCAACACAACGAACTCATAGTGCCCATACCTTGTTCGAAAGGCAGTCTTGTATTGGTCTTCTGGCTCTACCTCAATCTGATGGCAGCCAGATTTCAAATCAATTTTCGTAAAGTATTTGCAACCCTGCACACGATCCAGCAGATCATCTATCTGCGGTAACGGCTCAGCGTTCTTTACAGTTATTTCATTCAACTTCCTATAGTCTATGCACATGCGTACCCCGCCATCCTTTTTAGGCACAAACAACACAGGCGCACCATAGGGCGAGGAGCTAGGCCTGATCCATCCCTTTTTCAGCAATTCATCAAGTTGGGATCGCAGTTCATCCAACTCTTTAGGTGGCATTCGGTAGATAGCCCCTTTAGGAATTGAACTTCCTGGAATAATGTCTATGCGATATCTGATGGGTCTCTCAACCACACCGCTTGGGGCCTCTGCCACATCTGCGAACTCCTTCAGAAGTTCCTCAATTTCGGGGGCCTTAGGCTCTTCCTTAATTTCACCCTCCTTTACTGGGCGCACATATGCCACAAAGACTTGGTCATACAAGTTGTACTTCCTAACATGGCGAGCGAACGCTGGGGCACTCATACAGCAATGAGCCAAGCTGCTTTCCTTACCTGATTCATGGAATAGGCGGATTCTCTTCTTTCCGCCTTGTGGACTAGGAAGCCAACACCCGTGGTCCCTCATCTTTATGTCCGCATTTGCAGCTTCGCCCCAATCCATACCTAAAAGAATGCCAAAAGGAAGATTATCTTCCACCAAGAGAGTCAGAGAGTGGAGAACACGTTCCACCTTCCCCTCTGCTTCGAGCCGGAAGTATACCTTAACCCCTTCAACATATCTATTCATCACAGTTACTGTACTATTAGCTAATTTACTCATTACGGGTTCAGCCAATTGCTTCACCTTAAGCCCGAGACGCAACTTTTGCAATCCTTTTTTACTGATATAGTTGCGAGTTGATCCGCTATTAATCATACCTCCAACTCTTACTTTATGTACTTCTAGATCTGCAATTATTAACTGTCCTTTACGTTTTTTCATTTCAGTCCAGGCTTGGCGACGAGCGGCCAACTCATCACCCACGCCAGTGAGGGATCCACCTAGAGAGATGCATACGCTTGCCACCTCTGGACATTGTACTAGATGGGGACTGTCTACCTCTTCAGTTTTTGCCAATGGGACCTTCGAATGAGAGGATTTCTTTTTTTCAACACCCGAAGTCCCTGTAGAGGCAACTGAGACCTCTACTGGTTGTTCCCTTTTGGTACCTTATAGTCAGGGCAATAAGGGACAATGTGGTCGGGGTCCCCACATTTAAGGCACTGGTCGACAACTTTCCTTTCCTGCCAAACTTTTTCGGTTTCCAAGGCTCCCCTTCAGGCAGACCTGGATGAGGTGGGTACGACTTATCCCACTTGTTATACCAAGTGTCTCTTCCTCTTCCCCAGGTGGAATTGAAACCATGGCCACCTTGCGAGGGACCATTACCCCTTCCACCCACGTAGTCCTCGGCCACGTCCTCTTCCTTGGCGCCCTCTCCCGTGGGCTACAACGGCCGCATAGCTCCCCTCCTGAGCTATCGGGCCGCTGCGTCCTTCCTCAAGACCATAGTCTACTTGGTCCCAAGAAAGTGTTTCGACACCTCCATCTTCAAAGGTCAGAAGGAGGTTGTCTTTCCCAAGTATAGACCTTGAGATAATGCGGTTCTGCCATTTTTTTCCCACTTGCAGATCCTTCCAATAATGACAATAATTGGCCTCAGCCAAGAAGTCAGCGTGATCTATGGCGATCTTGTTGAACTTCTCGTAAGTCATCCCCTCTTCCTTTGTACGGGGATACAACTGAGTACGAAGGGGGTCGGGTAGTGCGTGTGCGAAACTGTTCAATATATGAGCAGGGGTCAATCCATGTTCATTGCATTGCAACAGTTCATCCATGGTAGCTTTAAGCGCCAAGGTGCTCTTCCATTTTCTATCTGGGAGGTTTAGGACTAACATGTGTCCTCCTGGCTAAGTTTTTGTCCTCAAACCTGTCTCGGATGGATTTGAAAAAGTCCTCAATTCGGGTTTGCTAGGAGTATTCTACCATAGAGATGCAACCTGCCTACTTCTGCAGGGAGATGGCAAAGTTCATGGCATCTCCCTCCATACACGAATTTGCCATTAGCACCCTGTCCCAGTACGGAATGCGTTGTCCGTAGACGTATGACTCGAATGCTGCAATCCAGTGTAGCACACTTTGTTCTTTCTTACCGTTATATGTCCATGGAACTTTTACCTTATTTTTCGTACATCTGTATCCTTATCTTCTCGCAGCACTCCCTTTCCTTTCTTATCATCTCCTCCGTCTTCGTCTCCATATCCACCTCCTCCTCCGCCGCTGCCCCGGACTATCTTCTCAATTACGGTCGGAGTAAAGGTTTGTGTGATGTGATTGTCTATTTTTTCAATATAGGATTGTATATGCAGATCGACATCTTTGGCGGACTTCTGCAGAAAGGTATTTCAGACTCCCTCAAACTTACATTGGTGAGTTTCAACCTTTTGCAAAGTTCTATTTATTTCCGCTACCTCTTGCTTTGTGTGAAGGACTGTTTCTGTTAAGAGGGCAAGTTTCTTTTCCATTGGAGCTTGCTTGTCTTTTTTATCTTGCAACTCTTTATGCAATCTTGCACCCTCTACTTGCAGCCTTTTTCTTTCATCCAAGTCTTGCCGCTTTGCTGCTAACATTTTACTATGCAGTTCTGTACGTTTTTCCTCAAGCAAAAGATCTTAATCTCTTTGATCTGCAATGGATGCTAACTTTGCAAGAAATACATCTCTTTCTTCCTCTGTTTCTTTTACACGATCGTTGGAGTATGCATACTGGTCATACCAGTCCAGCGGCTTGACCTCAAGTCTTACTCCCGTCTGACTAGTCTCACCTTTTTCCGTCCGCCGTCTGATGAGCCTATCATCGACAGGTTCATCTTCTTCTTCTATCGTTTGCAGTTCCTCCTTCAATTCCCTCTCTAACTTTTTTCTCATTTCTCTCCTCATTCTTTCTTCTTCTATCTAAACTTTCTTCTATATTTCTTCTACTTTTTGTTTTTTTCTTTCTTCTTTTTCTTTCCTCTTTTCTGCCTGTCGGCGATCGATCTCAGCCTGTTCTGCAGGCGTGGGGCCTAGCTTCGTCATCCTTGATCGCATCATCATATAGGACGAGCATATTCTCCCAAGGCCGAGAGGAAAGAAGATTCTGAAGAGGGGGCCCAATAAGACAGAAAGGGCCAGAATTCCCTGCATGGGAAAGTCATCCATGGTGGCTGACGGCACAGGCGGTCCTCCGCCGCTCCACCCAGATACTTTCCTCAGGTGTCACTAAACTTAGTCTGAAGTGGATGAGATACTATGCTTGTTTTTTTTTTTTTTCAGACTCTGAGAATCGCTGCTTTCTCAATAACGAATTTCAAATAATAAAGAACTTAAGTAGAACTTCTCTTTTTTTTTTACACGCTGTCTGTCTCCCACTCAATGAGTTCCTTCTTTCTTCCTTGCTGATCTGGGTGTTCTCTCTTTGTTTTTATTAACACTAATTGTCTGTCCTCTTGCGCAGGGGGTACTGGAGTGTGTACTTGTCAGATGCCTGGACAATGTTGTATCACACTACTACTACTGCCAGATTAGACCTGATGTTGTGACTTCTATCTGACGTGGCAATCAGCCACTACAACCAGTGTTCCCCCCACCTTTACAACCTTCTACAGATGACAACTCAGAGGGGTAGAAGAGAAGACCACCAGGACTCTGACCACTACTACTTCGAGTGTGACCAGACACTTGTATCCCGACTCTCAGACCGGACCTCGGGTAGACAGTAGCAGCAGCGACCACCAGAGAGGGGAAGAAGTAGAGATCACACACACAACCAGGTAAGGGAATGGAGGTTCTTCTCTCTTTGAAGCGGACGTCGATGAAGCTCCTCGTCGCTCCGCACTCCAACGCTCCAGGTAAGTAATCTTCTGCCCCTTCCTCTTCGGCTTACTTCTCCCCCCAGATCCCAATCCACCTCTCTCACAACTCTACCATCACCAGCATCATCTTCAAGCCAGCGTTCCCTTCTTCTTCTCGCCGGCCTTACTCATGCCAGCGCAGTGAGTGCAACAAGCTTCTGCTCCGATACCAAGTTTGCAAGGGACCTGACTGTCAACACTTGCCAGAGTGTAACACAATGCATGCCACTTCACCATTCACACAGATTATGACTCCACACACAACGCAGAATGGGGATGAGATAAGAACCAAGTCGCGCAGCTCATATTGTCTCAAACACATCATAAAGAGTATCTCGAGTTCATGTTTCCAAGCGCTCAACAACATGACGTGTCTCTCTCTTGAACATCAGCATAATGGGGCCTGGCTTAGCCAGCGCCACCTCTCACAGCAACCAGCGAGCTCAGAACAGGTAAGTAGTCACCATAGCCATTCGTTAACCTGTCCTTCCTCTCCCTCTCTCTCTCTCTCTCTCTCTCTCTCTCTCTCTCTCTCTCTCTCTCTCTCT